GTGAGCAAGAGTTAAAGGGAAGCATTCCATCAATATTTAAGAGCCGGTGAAGGGTACCAGTCAAACCTTTAAGTGGTAGGTAGTAAGCGCTTGAATAGCGTTAATACAAAAACAGAGCAAACTCGTAAAAAAGAGAGCGAGAGAGAGAGAGAGAGAGAGAGAGAGAGAACCCTAGCAGCCGACAAAGGGTGGCGGAACTGGCTGAGAACAGCCTCTCTACTCTCTACATCTCCTTCCAGCAGAGGGCGCCACTGCAAAGACGACCTCTCCTCTACCGATCTCCCTCCCACTGTGCAACGCATGTATTGGGGCTTTGCTTATGAAGCCTGTCTTCTTCACAATTGGCGAAACCCTAAACCCTAGCAAGGGTGGATACCGGTGAAGGAATAAAAAGGGGAAAAAAAAAAAACCTATGACATTAATCGATAGTAAAGCAGGATTTTTTTAGTAGCAGAGAAATCATAGCGGAATCCTAACACTGCAGATAACTTTTACATTGAAATTACAACCTAAAAGAACGCAGTTAAAAGTTCAGAAAATGCACCAAAAACCTCTACTTCAGTACTCTATAATTAATCAAATTACTTATAGTAAGGAAAAATGTTAAGAAATAAATTCACAATGTCCTCCGGTGAAGAAACAGATTAGTGAATCGTTCAGAGCACATCAATGGCTAATGCTGAATTGCGATGATGTTGTGTTGTTCTGTATTCGGAATGGCAGAACTGCTCTGAGACTCGAGAATTCAGGTAAGGGCTGCAAGCGAATCAAGTGTTTGACGAGTTGCTCGTTGCTTGATTCGATTAAAACTCGTTTGTAATCGTTTAATTAATAAGCTCGTGAACAAGTTTGGCATTAGGCTTGATAAGAAGCTCGATTCGTGTTCAATTTATGTACAAGAGACATTTCATATTTGTCCATATTTGCTTGATTGATTGTTTAAAATATTCATGAATAAATACAAGATAAATCATAGATCACTTCTTCGCGAACGAGCTCATTTGGTAGCTAAAAAAAAACTACTTATATATGTTCATGAACTTGCTTATTTGGTAGCTCAAAAATATTCATTAGATATGTTCATGAACGTGCTTGCTTTATATTTAAAAAAAAAAAATCACTAAATATGTTCACGAACATGTTCGATGTAATTATTTGTTAGAAGGCTCGATAAAGCTCGTTTGTTAAGTTGATAAACATCTAAAAGCATAGCTCGTTTATAGTTCCTTAATGCTTGTTTGTTTAAAGCTCGATAAGCACTAAACAAACTGAACATGAACCAAACATGAACCAAACATAAGTACTCATTAATTTAAACAAACTAAACATGAACAAAAACAATAAAGCTCGAATAAAAAACGAACCAAACTTGAACAAGCTGATAATAAATGAACACAAACATGAACAAAAGGTAGAAATCAACGAGGAAAAAGTAATAACCATTCGTATTTTAATTCAAATAATAAAGTTCCTGCCCAAAATTATATGAACCAGAATCGAGAATGCAACTTTAAGTGCACATGCATGTTTCATGTCATAAGAATTTATCTAAGTTTTTTATCAATAATAATATACTATAAATATATCTTGGCTTTTAACCCTAAGTAGCTATAACAGTGATAGCACTCACGCTAATTAATTCAACTGCATTAAGTGCTAAGAAAAAAATAAAGAAAGAAAGCTCACATGTCCAAAAAATATTTTTAACATTAAGAATTAACAACATACGTGATTATTTTTGGTTTGTTGGTTGGGAGTTTGGCTCACAGCTAAGAAAGGTCCTGGGTTCAAATCCTGCATATATGTTCTGTATGTGTGTTTGGGCGCTGGTGCTGCCCCTAATTTTCACCTCGATTTGTTGGTTGGGAGTTTAACTCCTAGCTCAGAGGGGTCATGAGTTCAAATCTTGTGTGTTGTGTATGTATATTTTTTTAAATATTTTGATATTTAAAAAATAAAACAACTTTCTTATATCTACTACATTCTATTAGAATTGGTTATTAAAAACAATTGAACACCACATATGAATATTAAATAGTAGCCGAAAAAATGTATGGATGCAATCTGAAAAATAAAACAAATAAAAAGTTGCCCCAAAACAAACCCTTCACTTTTTTAAAAAGTGGAGCCTTAAAAAACCAACCATCGACGTTGTCAAGTTATGCTAGAAAATATTACATACATATCAATATATACTTATTATTTTACCTATCTAACACCTCATACATTAATATTACACATATACCACTCAAATCCCTAATTTATATCGTTTCTACCACTCCATCTAACGCCTTCCTCACGAAAATAATTTGGTAAAAATAGAATACTTCATTTTGAAGTCCGGGAAAGAGCCTTCCTAGGAAAAGCTAACAAAATCATTTTCAAGAAAATAACTTAGGAATGAAGAACGGCAAATCTGAACGAGGTCCAGCAATATTTAATGAAAATCAACAGGTAGGTGACGGACAACAAGCCAGTTTCCGAGCAAACCAAATCACTTTGAAAAAAAAAATCTGAGAATGCATCAGGAAGACCGGCAAATTTTAACGAGGTCCGGCAATTTTTAACGAAACTCAACATTTAAGTGACGGACAACAAGCCAGTCTACGAACAAACCAAATCATTTTGAACAAAATTGAGATAATGCATGAGAACTTGCCTTCCTTCCCTTTTGCGAGCTCCGATTCCTCATTAGTTCTACCCTAACTGACTCTCAGATTCGTGTCCAACAATATGACAGAAAACATTGTGAGGAAGGCAGAAAATGTCGTGAGGAAGGCGTTAGATGGAGTGGTAGAAACGATATAAATTAGGAATTTGAGTGGTATATGTGTAATATTAATATATGAGGTGATAGATATGTAAAATAATAACCACATAACTTATAATAGTTGTTATGGATGCATATATTATAAAGAAATTAATAATAACAATATATATATCCTGAGATAAGAAGAGAAATTTTTGAAATGTGAGAAATTAGTATTGTTCTTTCAAAATAGGTTGTAGACCTTATTAGCCATCACATGTGGCATATGTTCATATCATTTTCGTAGCATATAGCTATGATCATAGCATAATCATGGCCGTAGATACATCTAATTAAAAATTTAATACTTCTAATAATTATTTTAATAGAAATATTGAAAAATATTAAGAGCTCAATTAATTATAAATGATCAGAGACAAAGGCGTCGTTTGGGATGACTTTCTTACTATTTCATAAAGCAATTTTTTTTACAAATTTTTTTATTTTTTACTAAAAAATTATTTTAAAAAGCAATAATAAAGTCGTCCAAACGAAGTCAAAATTATCATGATTCATACTCTAATAATGTTTATATTGATGTAACCTATGTTTCCACTTTTATTGCTTGGTAAATTCTAATGTTTTATTAGATTAATTACCAGATTTATATAATGTCTTCATTAAGCATTATATGAGTGATGAATTTTGGGTAGTACAAATTTTTCATCTTTGCATTTGATTGATCGGTACGCATATGCATATATGTTGAGTTTGTTGTCAAGAATAACTTCTAAAAGTCCAAATAATAGGGACATCTTTCCTAGGTTAAGAAAGTTTATATGCAAGGAAATACGGTGATGAGCTAGTAGTGTAGGATCTTCTCTAGCCAATTAAAGTGTTAAGCCAAGAGAGTGGCCATTGAATTTAGAGTCCAATTATGAGAAAACAGTATGCATGCACACACAAAAGGAAAAGGATAATATGTTTAGAAAATATTATTTGGCACAAGGATACAATTGTAAAGAATAACAAGAGCAATGTTCAAAAATTACACTTAAGATAGCTCTCTCTCTCTCTCTCTCTCTCTCTCTCTCTCTCTCTCTCTCTCTCTCTCTCTCTACCCCCCCCCCCCCCTGCTCCCTTCTATTCTCCCTGGCTAAGAAATCAAATGGCTTAGGGTATGGCTTAAGTATACTTATATTAGGGAATTTTTAAAAAAAATAAATTTTCAGACCCAACGTCATAACGCTCCCCTTTAACACCTAAAATCTGAGAGATTGGTTCCTCAATGCCCAACTCCAGTGCCACTGCACTCTCACAACCAAAACTCAATACAAATAGAGGCCAACACTGTTGCATTTGCAAGCATAGCATTACAATACTCACAAATAGATTTTCATTCATGTAGGAAGTTTCATAGGGATTATTAACAAGTCATTTTCAGGTCTTTAATCATGCAAAAATTGAGGTAATTACTTTTACTTCCTTGGTCCTTCACAACACTAAAAATTCAGCTTATGCTTCTTAGCTCTTAATGACATAACTATTGTGATGTACGAATGGCTGATATTATTCGAGAAATTGGGACCCATTATATCCATTGCTAGGAATAGTCATTCAAGGGGCACCTCTAGGTGACAAATATTGGCTATCCATCTTAATAGATGCCTCCCTCTCAATTTTTCCCCCTGTCATAAATTCAAGGCTTAACTTCTATTTGTTGACATTAGGGCCACTAGGGCCGAGTAGGTAGGTAAGTTATTATGATGAATTCATTCCACTTCATATAATTATTTATTTTTGTTTGAGTAAACTTAGGCTTCGTTTGGGGTTGCTTTCTTCTTGCTTATTAAAGCTATTTTTTAGTAAAAAAAAAAATTATACTAAAAACCTGTTTTAAGAAGCATGAAGAAAATAATCCCAACTAAAACATTAATCTTGTCAACGACTTCATTATTTATTTCAATAAACCTTTGGGTTAATAAAACCTAATCATTCTTGAATTATAACTCTCTATGTGAATGTCTTGTAATTCATGAAATTGACTTAAAATCAAGCTTAAATAAAATTTGAGTGCAAACTCCAAACAAATTTTAATTTTATATTTATAAATGATACTCTAACCGTTATTTTTTTTAAAAGAAAATTCAACGGTTAATTTTTTTTTACTGTACATAAGAGAGGTTATACAGTCAACTCTAATAAGTAAGCATGACAGCTATTTTCCTTGTTATTCTTGTCTTCCATCTACCTTTCTGTCTCTGTTTCAAACTCTCTTATCCTCCCTTTTTATAATCCTCTTTGTCACTCTCTATTGTTACTCTTTCTCGTCATCAAAGTGCTCATCGGCTCTTCCAGTGACGCTGCGCTGTCCTCCGGCGACGACGCGCCGAACGCCGGCGACTGCTGTGATCAGTAAGTCTTCATCCTTCCTCTCAACCCATCATAAAAATCATTTTCCAGTGTCCCATTCTCTTACATTGAAAATTTTATCCTGATATTTAAATAACTAATTATTCCTATGATTTGTGAGCTACGGGTTAAACTCTGCATCCCTCCTTAAAGAAATTTTGCTCACTTCTCGAATCCGTCGTAGGGAAAACAATCTGTCCAAGACAATGTAAGCAAATGGGAGTTAATTGTTTTTCCTTTACTTTGTTTCCCGCCGAACTCGACAACCCATCTCAGCCGGGCCGGTGTATCTTCCTCCACCCCTCCCCCCTGTTTTCCCTTTTGATTCTTCCCCAAACTACATTAATGACAAGTGTAGACCAAAATGCAAGGTCCTTCTCTGCAATAAATTTGCAATCAATTTGTTCGTGGATTCACTGCAATGTATAGCTAGGGTTTATTTCTTTACCATAGTAAGTGCTGTTTCGATGTGTGCGCCGGGATTCGTGCTGCCCTTTCTTTTCCAGCTTTCTACCGATTGAACTGCAATATTCTTTCTTTGTACGGGCGTCGAGCCCCTACCCCATACCTTGCGTCACCGTCAATTAAATGATTCGTCCTTTAACGCTGATGTGTTTTTGTCTTTGCTTATTTTTTCTTCAACCGCAGGGCAATAAAGCTACCTGTATGAATCTCTCAGCGGATGCAATGTCGTGTCGTGTTCGCCCCGCCTGGCTCCAATCCGCTCTCACAGGTCTCCGAGCTCTTCTCTATCTACAATTTCTCTGCATTTACCATGATGTCTCCGTCAAAACTTCGTAATTCGAGAAAACAATTTTTTTTTGGGGAAAAACAATATTTTATTTGCGAATAGGGTTTGCTATTTTTAGTAGCTTGTTGGCCAGAATGGAGTGCTCTGGTCCTCTGGAGGGTTTTTGGTTTCGCTTTCTTCTTTGAATGTATAACGTGCTTTTCGCTTTCTTGAGACGACTCTGCCTTTAGGGAATAGTTGCAGTACAGCTACTGAATAGACGGGTCACGGACGAGCGTTATGTGAAATTTTTTTATATTTTTTGTGACTTCGAGAGGAAATTTAACGGCTAATCCACATACATTGGCTCAAATTGCAGAGCTCCCAACAATTTTTTGAAAGTGTTCTTGCAAATGACCAAATTCAGTTGAAAAATTATTAGTTTGGATGGTATAAAATTTGTATCCATAAATTATCCTCAGTTAATTCCTCCATATTTATGAGGGTAGTTTAGTTGTTAAAAATTTTAGAAGTGTATTATCAAAACTCTGTTCATATAAAATTTTATGTTTAGACGGTCAAAATTTCAAATTTGAAATTTGATTACTGCGTGGATTTTTTTATTTTTTAAATGAACACCGTCTTCATTGCACTTGTAATGATAAAGAATAGTTTTTTTTAACTTTGGAGTCAACAGCTTCTAGTTTTTTAACTATGGAGATATTATAAATAATTGGCGGTGAGAATTCTGCCATTTTTATATTTTTATTTTATGAAACAATAAATGCATAAAGTATTAAATGCATATTTATTTTATATTAGAATATAAGCAAAACAGAAATAAAATGAATTGAAAGAGAAAAAATAAAATAAAATAAGATCGCAGAAGCCCTAAAGTTTTTCGAAAGCGTGGGTTTTCCTACCTGTACTAATGATGTGGCGTGAATGAAGTCCTCTTTAAGATTGTTGATGATCTAAGTTGAATCTGGTTAGTGACTAGCTATAGCTCATTAATTTTGATTTGAAAATTAGGGATGAGTGAAAACTGAACTGATCTCCTTGCTTGTAACTCTTCCTTTTCTCTCTTACTAATCAATCATATTATGGAGTTATTGGCACTCTCAAATCATTCTTGTTGGGTCATAACAATTGGTGCCTCATTTCTCATAACAGTTGGTGCTCTCATTAATTGGTGCTTCCTTGACTTTTATCTCAGTCCATGTGAATGAACCGGTGAGATTCTTATTGTCTCCATCTACCATTCTGTAAAATCTTAAGCAAGATAATATTATTAATGGAAGTAGAAGCTACTGAGTTCGACTTTATTCTAACTATACTATAAACCGCCCAATCCCTTCAAACTTAGTATAATGGAAGTAGGAGCTATTGAGTTTTGACTTTATCCCTCAAGATAATATAATGCCAATATGCTTCAAGTTTTTTCACACTGGCCAAAGCAATTTGGACTATTAATCTCATACATCCATACATCGTACAAGTTGATGTGGACCGAACGTCTTATAAAATAAAGGTATATCACTCGGGCAAATGACTATGATGCTAGTGTAGAAAAATACAAGGACATGAAGGACTTTCTTATTCACGGAAGTATTTAATCACGACAATATATAAATTGATCAAGGATGAATTAAGAGAAGATTAGAGAGAGTCGTCTTAGATGGTTTGGTCATATTAAATGGAGGCCTTCCGATGACCTGATTAGGAAAGTTGAGGTATTAGATTTCACTTATGTTAAGAAAGGTAGAAGTAGACCTAAAAAGACTTGGTTAGAAAATATTAGAAATGATCTTTCTTTATTAGATTTAAATGAGAAGTTGACTTTTAACATGACACAATGGTGAAAAAGGATTCATGTAGCCGACCCACGTAGTGGGACAAAGGCTTGATGTTGTTGTTGTTAATGATGAATTAAGGAAATTAGTATAGATTTAAAACTAGGCTTCAGATTTTCTTGAAGTGAATCTATGGCATTGGGCATCCAAAATTTCTTCTTTGGCATGACTATGGGATTTGATTTCTTCTTTTGGCATGAATTCATAGGATCCTTATTTCTTTCCTTATCATGAACTCATGTGACCTTGATTAACATCATTGAGATTAATATTTAAGTATCAAAAATAAGAACTATGGCATATGCGTGTGCTATAATAATTAAATGAGCATTTATTTTCTTTTACAATTATTCATTTACATGCCACTCTCAAAATAGAGCTATGATGGCAGCATAGAGAGCGTTGAAGTCATCCTCTGGGAGATGGTCTTAAAAAATGCATTATGAACTTCAGGTAATTAAAGTGACCATTACAAACATAGATTAGTTTATTCGAACATACTTCACAAACAAATTAATGATAAAGAGCTTGATAGACATGTGGTTAAAAAGGCAAAATTGGTATATGAAAGTAAGCTTTATACGTATTTGGGTAAAAATGGGCATTTTTTAAGAGAAAATTGTGAGAGTTAACACGTAAACAATTAGAACCAACATGGTTTATGATTTACTCTGTCATTCCAATAATAACTTCGTCTGAGCCAGCATATGGAAATTGAAGCAAGATTTTTCTTTAGCCTGCAATGAATGATGTAGTGAGAAGTGTCGCTTTCTAGCTATTAAGTGGAAGTGGTAGGACTGTTCTTGGTAGCATACTATGCTCGTGATTGTCGCACCCTTAAGGAGAAGATGACAATGAATAAAAGAAGATGGTGGGGCATCATTTGACAGTATGACTCTGATAGAAATTATAAGCATGTAATGATTTTCATACAATGAAATATATATAGATTGATTTAGGAATGAAATAAGGAAATAGTTATAGATTTTGGATTTCCTTCATTAGTTTGAATTCATGGGATCCTAATTTTCTTCTTTTGTATGAATATGTGGGTTTTTTTATTTCATGTTTGAGCATGAATATATGAGATCCTGATATTTTTTTATATCATAATTTTGTTGGGTCTTGATTTTCATCTTTAGCATTAAAACAAAATCCGGAGCACGTACAAGCCCTTCCAATAATTATTTCAGCATCTATTCTTTGAGCTAAGGCCTTCTCTTGTCGAACGTTAAACATGTGTATGACGTTGTTAGGTCGCTCTAGCCGAATGCCAAACTTTCTGTATTTGCTTGCGTATTGACGTCACACTGTTCATCCAGTATATATATATGGAGACGAGTTTTTGTATTTTGATCTAGTACTGCATTTCAGAGTTAAAATTGAGTCTTTTAGATGCCCTAATTCCCATTGAGAGTCCTTACCATAATTCTTCTGTTGAATGCTCACATTGCAGAAATATGACAACTTACATAACAGATTGAGTGGCATTTATTTTATATGTGATTGAATTATTAGGATTTAAGATGTTGGAAGAGCTTATCCCAAACGCTCATTCTGAATATAACCGTTATATAATTCATAGATAAAAGAACACGGGAGCCACATATTATCCCCCTGTTTGTTTGAGAGTTGTGATAAGCTAAAAAACTGGGAATAATATATTAATCTACTAAAATGTATTTGCTTATTTGATGGAGGAAACATGATTGTCTGCCATATAATTGCTTCTGTGTTTTTATCTGATTAGAATTATTTCACTACAAAACAATAGCGATATTCTTGTTATTGCAAACCGAAATGAAAATATTGATAGCTGCCAGCCTGTTCCCTTGCTAGCAGCCATGGTGCAGGAAATAAAGATGTCCTATCACCAAGTGGGCTCTACCTATTGAAAACACTATGTGACAGCATATAATTGAAGCATTTAAAACTTACAATATAATAGTTATAATTCAAACTTAGGGACCGTTTGAGATTTTTCTTTGGTTTTATTTCTATTTTTATTTATTTTTACAATCAGTTAAGCTGTGATTCTTAAATACTAAAACAGTTTTAGTTATTTTCATTTTTTTCTTAAACAAGCTGACTGGCACTAGTTGTTGGTCATTTACCGTTCTGTTTTTATTTGTATTAAAATGTATAACAAAGATTACATCAAGTTGTTTTTATCCAACTATGTGAGGTCGGTTGCATGAATCTTTTTTCTCTACTGTGTTATCTTAAAGAGTCAAATTTTAATTTAAATATAATTTAAAAAGTTCATTTTCTAATATTTTTTTAACTAATTATTTTTAGGTCTACCTTTACCTTTTATAATATAGGTTGAATTTAATACAACTACTGTAATTTGGTCATCAAAAGACCGACATTCTATGTGATTAAATGATCTACGAGGACTTTCTCTAATATTATCTGGCATTAGAGTTACTTCAATCTTTTCTCACATGTGTAGATTTGCTTATCATTATACCTTTAAAGTTTAGTTTGGGACCGATTTTTTTACTGTTTTTTAAAATAACGAAAATTTTTTGGATTGAAAGTTTTTATACTAAAAATTGTTTTAAGAGATTTGATGGCTTTAGGAAGATCACTGTTTTACTTGTATATTATATATTTTTTAATATATTTGTTTGAAAACTATATTGGATATGTTGGAATGAATTCTTGTAATTTTAATGACCAATTTAAATTCAGTTTTGCTAATTTTGAAAAAAAAATCCAAATTAAATTTTGATAGTATAAAGATATTAATTAGCTGAAATCTTTTCAAAATCATCAAAATGTTATTGACAATGGCAATTCCGTGATTAAACAGATATCGAGCAGAGAGTGAAGGCAATCTCTCCAATCTCCCATACCGAGACACAGGATGCGGACTCCTTCGGCACACGCGCCGAGAATTACTACCAGAAACGGCCGCAGCTGTTCTCTCTCCTCCACGATCTCCACAGCCGCTACCTCTACCTCGCCGATCGCTACACCCAAGCTCTCCTTCCCAGCCATCGCCGCCGCCACTCTGCCTCCGAGCTCTCCGACTTCGAGTCCGCCTCCTCCGACGCCGAGAGCTCCCTCTCCTTCGATCGGCCTCCAGCCCCAACTCCCTCCCTCGACGTCTTAGGGTTTGTTTGAATTTAACTTCACACATTAATAAAAGAATTTGATTATATATAAAAAAAAAAGGAATTATCAAAAGTTTTTTTTTTAATTATAATTCCGCAACAATCGATCGCCATATCTTCATAAATAATGGCTAAAATTTTGAACTCATTTTAGAATTATTAGCTAAATTTTTTATTAAACTCTTAATAATGGAAAAATTTTTCTTTAATTCCTTTAATCAAATAAGTGATGCAAATTTAAGTTTACATTTTCATAACCAAATTTTAACGTGAAATTCATTTTCTAATTTTCTTTAAAACCCAACAGAGCCTTAGTTGTGGAGCTTGTGGCCACCGAAATAGACCGGGAAATCCTCCTCACCGAGCTCTGTGGGTCGGATCGGGCTCGGGCCGAATCATCTCGTAAAGCGGAGCTGCAGGGCAGCCTCCTAGAGGTCTTGGAGGCGGAGCGACTAGTCCTGCTAGGCGAGAATGCGCGGCTTGGCTATGAGCTAACGGCCGCGACAGAGGAAGCGCGGCGCCTGGCTTTGGAGGCCATGTTCACGCGCCAGAAGGCAGCAGAGCTCGCACGATGCGTTGTTAAGATTCGTGCGGACCACCGCGTTTGCTTGCTGGGGAGGAAGATCGACGAGCTGCAGAAGCAGGTGTATGGGCTGGAGAGGAGGAACAGGGAGTGCTATGACGCGATGGCGAAGAGGGAGGTGGAGAAGGTGGAGGTGAGGATGGAGGTGGAGAGATTGAGGGCGGAGAATCATAGGTTGGGAGAGATGGTGGTGGGGAGGAGGAGAAAGGGGAAGGAGGTTGTGACGAGGTGGTGGGCAAGGCTGACGAGTTTGGAGTGGATTATCTCGCCTTGTGGGCCGGAGATCAACTACAAGGGGGAGTAGTTTTCTTCTCCTTGTTGTTTTACTCTTTTGTAAAGTTTTGTTCTATGTGGTGGTATGGTTGTGGCGCAGATGTTGTGACGCCATTGTTGATGATTAGAGAAGAGATTGTTATAAAGTATGTTTGTTGCAATTTTTGTTTGTGAGAGAAATGTTAAGAGTTTTGGCTGGTCATATCTTGTTTAGCAATCTGTGATTGTTTATAAATTATTGAAATTATGTGTACTCTAATTGCATGCTTTTAAAGTATTGTTAGTGCATTATTCAAATTCAATTGCCTTTCTAGTTTTGAATGATCATTAAAAGCTCAAGTGAATGGCATAGTCTTATGCATTATATGTATTGGAGACTTCGCTAAATCAATAAAAAATCATTCAAGTTTTAGTTTTAATAAACTTCTAAAATGTTCTAAATAGATTTTCAATGTGTAAGGGATTTAGATTTGAGTTTGCCAAGAGTTTGGATCAGTTCTTAAGAATTTTGGAACTCTTATCTTACCTTCAACACAAACAATCACAATCAATGTCGCCCACCGTCGTAGTGGCACAAATGTTCTAATTCATTTATAACTGTCAAATTGTTTTCATTTAATTGTTCTTATCTTATCACCATCATCCAATTACCTTTAATAGGATGTCAAATTTGTATTTCATATTTTGTAATCATGTTTTATCTTGTTGAGTGGAAGAGCAAATATCTTAATTTTTGCTTATATAGTTGATCATTTCATCTCGATTATGATCCATCTTATTTTCCCTACTTGGATTTTCCTCGTAAGAAAACTCTAATGCTATAAACAACTCTTTATCTCACAAATTTACTTGCATGAAACATTTACAATATCTTTATTTTGCAAAATGGTAGATTTTTATTTTATAAAATATAAATAATTTGTCTTTCCAAATAGAAAAGTGATTTTTTTTAATCTTTTATTTTGTACTAGAGAGCTGTTTTATGAAATAGTAAGAAAGTTGTCTCAAATAAAACTTAAATTTCTTTAAACCGCTCTGAATGCCCACTAATTTGCTTATAAATAGAAAGTGTATTTTAAAAAAATTATAATATTTAAAATAAGAAAATACAATGAGATCATTGTAAAAAATAAAAAAGGTTTAAAAAATTTAAATTTAATATTGATTTCAACTATTGGAAGATGAAATGAATTTTTTAAAATAAGTCTTCTAATCAAAACAAGCAAATGGGCCAAGAACCCACAACAAGATTGGGCTTTTCTGCCTGTTGCTCTCTCCCTTTTAGCTACCCAAACTAGGAATTCCTAAAATTGAAAATTGACCAACTCCAATAGCAAGACAAATCAATTTGTTCAGTTGTTAAATTCTCTCATGTTAATCATTAGTGCTCCAAAAACTTCATTTGTAAATCATCTTTTTATCATTAAATCCAATCATCAGACACTAAGATTTTCATATTGATCTTTTGCACTTTACACTATAGTCTTATATTATTCCTTCTTCATGTCAACAAATGGTCAATATACTCCATCTCTATGTGATTAAATATTCAAATAAATCTAACATATAATATTATCATGACTATAGTTGTTATTGTACCATAACATGAACTATATAAACACTTAGCTTACATTAGATGAAACTCCATACTTATTTTCATAGGCGGAGGGAAGGGGGGCAAGGGATGCTGCTTTACTTTTGGATTCATGGCGCATTTTTGGAGAGAGCTTTGGAAGAGATTGCACACACAAATTCAATTGAGTTCTTCTTATCACCCACAAACCGATGAGCAAATAGAAGTCGTTAATCGTACCCTTAGTAATTTACTTCGTTGCTTAGTACAGGAGCATCCTAAATTGTGGGACAAGGTACTTGGTCAAGCTGAATTCGCCTTCAACTCCATGTTAAACATGTCCACGGGTATGTGTCCATTTAGTGTTGTTTATACTAAAATGCTAAACACAATCCTTGATGTTGCAGTTCTCGCCATGAATCTAAAAGTAAAACAGCATCCCTGCTAGCCGACCAATTTACTGAATTGCTCTCAAAGGTTAAAAGAAAGCTTCATGAATCCAACACTAATTACAAACACGCAGCGGATGCACACAGAAGGGAGAAATTGTTCGCTCTTGAAGACTTAGTTCTGGTTCATTTGCGTAAAGAACGTCTCCCAGCTGGACAATACTCCAAGCTCGGTAAACGGAAGGGGGGTCCATTCTCTATTAGCAAAAAGATCAACGACAATGCTTATGTTGTTGATCTACCAGCAGAATTTAATAGTTCTCATATGTTTAATGTGGCCGATATTTATGCATATGTTCCTCCAGATGACAGCCCCATCACGACAGAGTCTTCTCACGGCAGGGGCGTATGATGCGGAGCATTCTTACTTACACTAGTCTTAAGGGCCATCTTATCTAATTAGTTACATATTTCTGCTTGCAGCTTATCATCGAAAAATGGTATGTCCAAATTGACTCGAAAATCTGTTTGAGGCCTTTCTGTTGGACGTCTTCTGCGAATAGGAGCCTGATCTCCTTCCGAATTAGATAATTCCAACGTATTGACATGCTCCCAGTCACCTTCTGAATATGATGCCTCCGGCTTCTGAGATCCTCTGGTTTGCTCTCTGTCCATCCTGAATCCACGCCTCGTCGCCGGTGTGGTCGTCAGAACGACTGTTTGGCCGCCTTGGTTCATGTCTAGATGAGCATTGATTAATCTCAATTCACGACGCATCTCTCTGAACATACGGTGGACATCCGCCGACAGTTCCGTTGTTTGTTTCACCACATTGGTGTGTTTCTCCCATAAGACGTCCAGGCTATGTTCTTCACCGGTAGCCAACCGCTTTCTACCTTCCGCCATCCTTCTCTGATTTCAAGTATGATGTAGGTATAACCTGCAAGAAGAAATGAAGAAGGCAAACACAATAGAACAATAATAAACTTCTCTGTATTCTAATATCAAAATGAAAAACTAAACTTCCATACAACCTTCTCTCGACTATATCATTTCTTTCAGCTATACTAGTAAAGGGACTGAATAGTAAAAGCAACTATTAGTACTATTTAACTAATTATGGTACTGACGGTAGTGGAACCTAAGCTGCAAGAAGAAATATGTAACTAATTAGATAAGATGTCCCTTAAGACTAGTGTAAGTAAGAATGCTCCCCATCACAGTGTCATAGAATGGTGAAATGATTACGTGCGGTCACCAGATTCTGTAACTAGGCGAATCAGTACGCACCACATCAATTTTTTTTATATGTAACGATACTGTATACCAAGTGACATGACGCATCCTGATTCACCTTTTGACGATCCGATTATTACACGTAATAATTTCTCAATAGAATGGGTGGTAGAATATATAATTGACTGAAATAAATGGTGGTATTTTTTTTTTCATTTTAAGGTGGCTGATCATGATATGTTGGTGAGAGCTTTGATTATAGGTTAATTTATTTATTTTTTTAAATTTGAGTATTATTCATATAATATGTGTGTGATAATTCATCTAAATATTTCAAAAAATATTTTTTATTTTAATTAAAATTTTTAATATTATTTAGGGGGATTTTTAGATAGGAGCAAGTAAATAATGGCAATTTACAAAAAGAACAGATTTAACTAAAAATTTAAGAAGGAGCAACTACGCACAATAGATAAGCGTATTGACTGGAGAGAGGAGAGAGGAGAGAGGAGAGAGGGAGTGTTTTTTTTTTTTTGGGTTCAAATATTGTTTGAGTTTATAGATCATAAGGTTTTTATATGTGATATGGCAATAGTAAAATGTACGTACTAATTTACATATTCGTATTAGTCATGATGAAGTAATATTTGCTTTGTATTGTATTTTTTTGTTTTTTTATAGTTACGTTGTGTAGTCTTATAAATTGAAGGTTGAATATTTTGACCGGATAAATGTATTGGTATGATTTTTGCCAAAAAAAAGATATTGTAGGTTAAATTATTTTCTATTCCCAAATGGCACAAGTATGGAGCGGATTAGTTAAAATGGTGCATTAAATTTTTTTTCTTTTTTACTTTAACTAATTAATTATAGTTATAATGGGTAATAATTACGAAGAAAATGTACCTTAATATCAATATATTTTAAAATAAATTTTAAAGTTAGGTAAATTATGAGATTTAGTTAATGAAAATTGAGAAAAAAAGATGAAATAGTTATTAAAATAAGTTTAAAAAGTTATTTTAAATTTAAAATAAGGTGAATATGATTTAAAATTTAGTTTTAAAAATAGGATTAAATTATAAATTTTGTGTATTTCTATTTAAATTGTTATTAACATACTATGAACGCCAATTTATTTTTAGAAGCTATATTAAAAATAATTATATATGAAATTATGACAAAGGATTAAATATTTGGACAAATAAATATTTATTCATCTTCTTCTTCTTCATAGAAAGATTGGAATGGGAATAATGTGAAAAGTAATTAATAAAAATTAATGAAAATACATGATAAGTTTAGTAATACAATGAAATACATATGATTAGAATTAGAAGAAAGGTAAACAAATTATAATTACGAGTGGCTTAGTACAATGCGCATACGCGCTTGGATTTGGGTTAACGTTGGACAACATAAAAAATTTTCTGTGAACTGCTTTTGGATGTAATGCCAATCTTTGATATTTAAGAACTCCTTCTTCTTTTTATCATCTATAATATTCAGCTCTTGATATTTTTCTGATAGAAATGCATCTTGATAAATATGCCACTCTTTGTAAAGAATATAATGTTGCACATCAGTTATTGGATTCTCAATATTGACCACAACAGAACCATCCTTTTCTTGTGTGATTTCACTAATTCTTGTCTTAAGAATACTTATAGGAGCAAAATGACCATTATGATCCCTAAACCTTTGTCGTACAAGTTGCCAGCCCAAATCAGTAATAGTTTCTCCATCCACATACATGGGATGACGACATTTGATAACTTCATGATATGTATCCCATAAACTATCATCTTCATACCAAGACCATTCATGTAGACAACATCGAAAAATTTCATTTGATCTTGATTTCTCCTCCAATAATTCATCTATGGGATACGACATACATTCTCTTAATCGAATAGTACCATCATAGATCAACTTCTTCCTTGGAATAATATGAAGGAAATCCCTTGATGGTGAGCACTTTATTGATAAGG